GGTCAAATTCCAGCATCCTCCCCACATCACAGCAAAGCCTGAGACATTCACAAAAGCCCACCTTTCTTTCAGATGCATCCTGCCATCTCATTCAGTCCATGTGTAACACAACCAGCTATCTAAACAAAACCCAACATTGGGTACACTTATCTGTAGTCATAATCAGGAACAGAGCTTGTTTGCTGTCAGTTCTTCCACTGTTTCTTAACTTTGTCTCAAATCCTACCTGCACCTTGACATTATCAAGTTTAAGTTTCCCATACAGATTTTTTTTAATATTGAGTTTAAGTCAATCTGAAGTCTTAAAGAGATTCCTGCACCTTCCGCAAAAATAGGCCTCCCTTTTGGTCAACTCCTACAAGTAAACGTATCAGCTTTCTAAAGGAATTCTTTTGAACTGCAATAACTTTTAACACTTCCATCTTCCTTGCTCCTTTTATGTAAATAGAAAGAGCAGAACTGTCCAAAAGTTGCTTGTTTTGAGAATAAGCACATCTCTATCTGCTCATGCAAGCCAAGTGTTTAGAGATACCTATTAATTCCAAATGGATCCAACAGCACTGCTCTTCATTACCAACAGCCAGAGGATGACTCACTGCTTCACAAGTACAAAACAGCACACATGTTTACCAGTAAAAGTGTACTTTTAAGATAATACGATGCTGCGAGCATTTTTTATATATATAATTATGTTATTATGTGCAATCTTCTTGTTTCTCATGCCACTGCTACAAGTACTCCTTTCTCTCTTCTTTCCCCCCCCCCGTTTCAGAAAAGAGGCAATACTGAGAAACCTAAGCAAAATTATTTTTTGAGATGCAAGAAGCAGTTCAAGTTATAAAGTACTCCACAAATATTCACTGCAAGGATAAAAGAAGAAAAGAAACATCAGTGAATAAAATAAACTTGCATAAACTTTGAGTTCTTCTTCTACATGAATTGGTGTAATGCAGTTACTGCTGGCATTTGCCCCCTATATGGCTGTATAACAAACCAGAAGACATTTTACAAAAAACAGAAACATCAGTTGTTTTTAATAAGTTGTTTTTAAAAATTACCAGTGCTGCTAGTCAGCACACTCCTCTTGGCCCACAACCAGAATATCATCACTTTTGGCATAAACACCGCTCTGCAAGGACCACAGCTATTGTGCAGAGCAGAAGATGAAGGAAGCAGAACTGGTCACAAACAAGAGCAGGCTGCCAGCAGGCCCTCTTCCGACAGCCACATATGGGACAAACACCAGCAGCAGCCACACACCAGATCCTAGTGAAGAATCCTGAACACCTCTCTACCATGAAACACAACAAGGGGACAAAGTGTCAACAGAAAGCAAGAGTTTGCTTATACTTGCATGAAGGAATTAAATAGCATTTTTGTGTTCAAACTTATTCTGCCAGGACTGGCTCTCTCTCCCTCCCCGCCCCCCATGTTGGATTTAGTATAATTAATTATTTCCAAATCTACTTTGCTTTTTAACTAATGGTTCCACATTCACCAAGTTATTTTCCTCTACATTTTCCCCTCACTCTCACCCTGTACATAAGCACAGGCACTTCACTGATTTTGTCAAGGAAGCCTCATAACCAAGTGCATGTGTATGGTTTTATAAACTGAAAATTTTACATTTTTTAAGCGGAAGAAATCTATCAAGAATTAGTAAACTTTAAGGAAAAAAGCCAACGAATATTGCAAAATAGAGGACTCAAATGGGAACAAATAAGAGTATTTTTCAAAGTAAAGCCAGAGGAGCAAAGAAACTGAATCTCCCCACTTAACTACTTCAAGTTTGGCCATGAAAAGCTATAGCAGCGATCAGGACACTTTAATTACGTTGTATAAACAGATGTAAAAATAGGACACAAGGAAAAACCAACTCCCCAGAAGCTTACATAGCTTCCATGGATGTGCAAGAACTCAGCAAACAAGAAATGAGTCAAAGGATCAAGAAAGGTAAACTAAGTATACAACAAAGACAGCAATAGACTAGCACACATTACCTGGCATTTATGTATTACAATACTTGCACGTGCATGCTGATCAAATAGAGAAGGCATGCTGCCATGCTCTGCTGATTTGCAGAACGATGCAACCAGAACAGAGCACAAGTTCAGCTCTGTGAGGGCAGGGCTTTACCCGAGTTAGAGCAAACCCATTGTTCTGTCATGTCTCATGTTTCTAATGCTGGGTCATCAATCTCCATGTTTACCTCATAGAATTTTAACTACATGACTGACACTTGTTTATTCCATTAAGCATTCCAAACAACAGGCCCTACAAGCAACAGATTAACCTAGTTTCAGCACGATTCTTGAAATGTGAGAGAGCTGACCTCTTGTAAGGAAGGGATCATCCCATGAAGAAACAGAACAAGGCAGGCTATTCTCGTGCAGACAGGTACACTCCTGAAAAACCAGAAACCATCCCAACACGCCAAACAAGTGGCTCACAGATGGATGCACCTAAATTTAATCACACGTTAAACCACAGGAAAGGACACCTCAAAAGCAGATTAAAGATTTATTTTATTTTTTGAAAAGTCCTGAATTATTCTTGCTTGATCCATAAACATACATCAAATACATTTCTCCTTTAATGGAGAAATTATCAGAAGGTGGCAACTACTGAAAAAAAAAGTCAAACACTGTCAGCTGAAGGGCAACAAGCCTTTGTTTTACATTACATAGCAAAACTTCATGGAAACTCAGAAGCTTGCTTGCTCTGAAAATAGATGAAAGAGAAATGAAGCATTACACTGAAGTGAAGCTTTGCATGCCTTTAGGACTCCTTCGGGATGCACAATCTAGAAACTCTAAAGCCATTCAAAGAGGATGAATACAATTCACTAAACAGAAGAGAAAGGAGTTTTCTTTTCAACTACGTCAAACTTGCCCTGATTTCCTTCCTCTCCTGAATGCACATTTTGGCTTCCAGTAAAGGTCATGCTACAGAACTAGGTCTGCTAAGTCAGGAAGATATCAACAGATTCCATAAGCTCGAGCTGTTTCTGTTGACAGGTTTCCTCCACTCTAATACTGCAAAAACTTCAATCCTTTTATTTACCACCCCAATGACCCCACTCCACCTGCAGCTGGAACAAAAGCTTCATGCACATGTCAGACAGCAGAACACATTCCCTCCATCAGTGAAGCCCCATCCACACCTGTACCCACAGCACAAATGTTCATCTACATGTCTGACAACATGATTTCCACCATGCAGCTTCAAGACCAGCTAGAGCAGAACTAATTGCAGGGGTTGTAAGCATAATGGTGCATGTAAACAACATGTTCTGTGTATTTTGTTATCTGTAAGCTACCAACAAGAGCAACAGGAGGCCGGACAACATGCACACTTGCAGCACACTTCTGCAGCTGTGCAAGTGCTACAAGAAAGGTGCACACAACTGCAGCCTTCATACAAAAATTAAGGGCAAGAACACAACACTGTGTATGTTTCAGAAGTGAAAACTTACTTCCTCACTGATTAAACAATAACGTAGAAGGCTTTTCACCAAACCAATGATCAAACTGTAGCTGGACAAGAAGTTTTTTCTTCACAAGAAGCAACACTGCACCTCTGAATTATGCATTTTTGCTTTCCCACACGAATACTTACATGACTACACCAATAGAAAGAATTACTAATTGCTCTTAGAAGAGCTGCAAAGCTTTAGAGAAGTAGCTGCAGTATGCATTAGTTAGCTCTTTAAGAATTCAATACACTTCAATAATTTAATGAAAAAAATGAATTGGTTAGATTGCACATCTTCCCTCAGTACAAAAACAGTACATAGCAGATAAGGTGTTAGAACAAGAGTCTGGGGACAAAAGCATGAGATTCAGCACACACAAAAAAAAACACAAATGGTAAAAGGGACACTGGGAAACAATTCTAACACCCAAAAGAGCTGCAAGATTTGTGTATACATTTCTGCTTTCATTACAGAGGACATAAATACTTCCTTACAAAGAAGTATTAGGCTCTCAGTGCCCCTCCACTGGTCATGGCTCTCCTGACACACCTCATATCCATTCACACAAACAGGAAGAGCCAGAAAAAACTCTGAAACAACAGCTCTCTGCATACCAACTTGCATTGCACTCTTAAGAAGAAAGTATTCTGAAAGTGTAATACCACAGCATGAGAAAGTTAGTGTTAACATATGGATTTTTAAGATACAGAAATTATCACACAAGGGATCCAGTCAAGTCTCTTATTAAATAACTGAGTTATGTAGGCCTATGGCAAAATTGACAGTGACATTTAAGACTGCTTCCTCATACAGCTGAGAAACACTCAAAGCTAAGTTATGAGATTTTTATCCAAGAAATCTCTTAGTACTCACACAGCAGTAGCTGCAAAGAGAATATAATTAACCCAGCAGAGTTAGGATGGTATGTGGCAAACCAAAACAGTGCCTCCTATGTGCAGCAAGAGATAAGCACCATCAGAACACCCCTACGGGCTTTGAATAGCCCTGCAAATAATGATGAGGCAATCTGGGAGTAAACCACAACAGCGCTCTCCATCTGCATGTAAGGTGCTGGGCTGGGGCAGATGGGACAGCACAGGTGCTGCTCTGTGAGCCGTATTCCTTCACCCAGAGATGGACCTGGGAGATGTGAGCAACTGTGAAGGTTAAACAGTGCTTGCAAAGGATGTGCGTTCTTGCAACCGGAGGAGGGTGTGAGCAGCACAAGCAGTGCCATCGGAACCCACACGTACCCTCATGGACACCAGGCTGCACTTAAAGGCTGAGCCGCACAGCACAGCACAGCACGGACGGGCTGCTCAGAAACACGCCTATGCACACAGACGCGTGCACACACACCGCGCTGCTCCGCCTCGCTGGAGGCACACGGAGAAGCGGGATGCCACGGGGAGCGCAGCGCAGGGCCGGGCACGGAGGAGGCCGGGCCGGAGGGCAGCGCGGCTGAGGGGAAAGCAGCTCCCGTGAAGGGTCGGGAGGGGGAAGGGCCGAGGGTGACGGCGCGTACCGTGTACTCCCGCACTTGGCTGTGGAAGTTCTGCTCGCGGATCGACACCTCGTCCGCCTCCATCCTTCATAGTCCCGCGGCCCCCGCGCGCAATGGCGGCCGCCGCCGCCGCGCCTGCTGCTGTCCTCCCGGCGGCGGGCGGGCCACCATGGCCGGCGGCAGCGCCCGCTGCTCCCCCCGAGCCCGGCCGGCGACCGAGAGAGTCCAGCGGCGACGAGCTCCGCCGCTCTGTCAGCGTGCGGCGGGACGCGGAGGAGGAGGAGGAGGAGGAAGGGCGGGCAATGCCGCCTCAGCTCCTCCTGCTGCGTCACCACGCAGCGACAGCGCGCACACCGCGGCCACGCCTCAACCGCCCGAGGGAGGGGAGGAGCCAATGGGCGGGAAATGGGGTGGGGGGCGGGGCTCCGCGTTGATTGACAGGAGGAGGGCGCTGTGCCCGGGGGTCTGCCCGGCTGGAAGGCGGGAGCTGGGCGGGGACGGGGCGGGTTCACCTCGTGTTTGCTCTCGTACGTGATAACTGTGCGCGCTGTCGGTCGGAGTACGGTGATCTCCTAGCCTGTGGTCCGTTTTCTTGCTTAAAAGCACATGTGGAAGTGTTTCATTAAATTTTCTCGTTAGAAAAAGGGGGATGGTTTTAAACTGAGACAGGGGAGGCTTAGGTTAGATATGAGCTGGAAATTTTTCACACAGAGGGTGGTGATGCACTGGAACAGGTTGCCCAAGGAGGCTGTGGATGCCCCATCCCTGCAGGCATTCAAGGCCAGGCTGGATGTGGCTCTGGGCAGCCTGGTCTGCTGGTTGGTGACCCTGCACATAGCAGGGGGTTGGAACTGGATGATCACTGTGGTCCTTTTCAACCCAGGCCATTCTATGATTCTATGAATAGTCATCTTCAACTGTGATTCATTGCTTGAAGTTCTGAGTTTACAGAGAACTGCCTTCTGCTTCAGCACAGCTGCAGTTTCATCCTGGTTCTTTCTACACTTCCAAAGACACAGCAGAATCGCACAGTGAGTGTAAGAGGTGAGAAAAATCCCACCCTCTGTCCTTCTGAAGTCCGCTGCCTGTGCAGGGAGAGTGTCTCAGTACTTACTGAGACCTTCGGAATGCAAAAGGACCACTAAATATAGATCTGGAGGAGCAATGAGAGCAGCAATTTTGACACAGTTCTTGGGAAAAGCTGTCTTACTTCACAGCTATTCAGTCCACAGCAATAGATTGTATCTGACAGATAATGTAATTACCTATTTGTGTTTTCTTCAGCTATTCCCCCTCATCTCCAGTCATCTCTTCTTCTAGGGATGCTGTGTGCTGAAAGCATCTGTAGCTGCCAAGATGACTTTTGCATGAGACTTTGGCCTGTGAGAAGGGCTTGCTCCAGATAGAGAGAACAATCAGAGATTAGGTCTGCAGTAATTAGCTAAGAAATACACATACTGATACGAAGACGAAGGAGGAGCACAGTTGAAGTTCCAGCTGTATATTCAATTTGAAATATACCCAACAAGTAGATACAGGACGTAATTTGTTTCATATCATGGATTGGAAAGTTCTCTCTTCCGTTTCTAGCAGCTGCATCATCAGAAACTTGAAACATATTTATATTTGCTGAAAAGGCAGGAAAAAAAAAAATAGCTTAATTCCTTTCTTGGGCAGAAGTTATTGCTTAGTTCCAAGGTGTCTACACCACAAAGGAATGTCACAGTAGCCACCACTGCAAAAGCTATTTATATCAAGGGATATGCAGTCTTGTGTAGGCTACTGTTGCAAACTGATGAGAATGTTTAGCAACGAACACATTGATGTGGGCTCATCAGTACGAAAGTAATATTTGAAGCATACCAAAAGAAAAATACAGAATACAAAAATGAAGCCTGAGGTACGTTTATGAGTAGGCAGAAGACTGCTGGAGGCTTTCATCCATACCTCAGACACAGAGAAAAAAAGACAGTGTTGGAACTGTCCTCAGTGATTCTTTTGACCTCCTCAGTAAGCAGAAGTTTGTTCTAAGTATAATCAAGAAATTTTTCTCAAGTTGCCAATCTAGAAGTACATGCACAACCAAAAAGAGTAATAAAATGCAGACTTCTGACTCGTAGTGGTGCTTAACCCCTGTAAGAGTTGAGAGGATTTAATAGATCTTGTTTGTTTTGTTCCTTTTCAGCCTTGTTTTAAAAGAACAGTTTTTCTACCTCAAGATAATACAGTGTCTGGTATTCTTAATCTCCAGTGAAGGTTTTATGTGCACTGGATTAACTGAGGTACTCCAGAAAAGATGCTGGGATATTCAAGCTAATAAGTTGCATTGGCTAAAATTGAAATCACTAGAGCTGGAACTGCTTCACTGGGAACATTCCCATAGAATTTGTCAATGAATTTTAGATCACCCTTTTAATTGTAAATATGAATTGGTACCATTTACCTAGCAACACTGGAATAAGTGATGCTTCTTTTTGTCATCATTCAGTCAAATGCAGTTTTGAATAAACAGAAAATGGGGCATTATTCTGTCAATTGATATGACTACTCACATTATTATATTCAAGATGCTACTAAAGAATTGGACAGATTGAAGCCTAATGCCCAATTTACTATGTTGTTGAGAACAACGACTGATTTTAGATGGAGCTTGGGGTACACACATGCCACAGATGATAGCCAGCACCTTACATATTCAAAATCTATTTATGGAGGAGAAAAAAAGATTGAAAAGTTAGAATAAGTGGTATAAAACAAACAAACAAACAATATATATATATATAAAATTATTATGCACATTAAGAATATTTCATTGTTGGCCATTGCAAAGTATGTATTTTATAAGCTAAATCACAGCAGTCATTAGATTGTAACTTAAGAAAGCAAGATCAATCAGTCTTGAATCTGGATTCAACTTGAAATACTGCTGACTGGTTTCATTTTTATTCATACCTTCTTTCTATTTTCTAGTTGTTTTCTTTTTCTTTATGAAACAATTTTTGATTGTGATTTTTGTTGTTGTCGCAAATATTCCCAGACTGTATCTTTTCACTGGTCAACACAGTAGCTTTAGCTCCCCATCTAATATATGCCGTAAAATGGATACAGTCAAGAAAAAGAACTTCAAATTAAAAATGAGAATGCTATCACAAAAATTGGATGTAAACTAGTTCAGTACAGATCCACATTGGTACGTGCTGGATTTTGTATATGTATGTATATAAATCCCCAAAAGTAAAATTTAAAAAATGCATCAAAGTAATATGGTTTTTCATAAGCTTTCAAAATGAACATTAGAGTAAAATATCTCCACTATTGATAAGGTGGAGTTACTGAATGCTTTCTTTGCTTCATTGCTAAGATTGCCCCTCAGGAATCCCAGACCCCAGAGATAAAAGGCTGGGGAAAGGAACAGTTTTCCTTGGTTGAGGAGGATCTGATCAGAGATCGACTAGGTAAACTCAACACACACAGATCCATGTATCCTGATGGAATCCACCCATGAGTGCTGAAAGAGGTGACAGAACTGCTCTCTATCTACAAGTAGAGTCCTACATTTGGGAGGAATAGCCATATGCATCGATACAGTTTAGGGGCTGACATGCTGAAGAGGAGCTCTGCAGAGAAGGATCTGGGTGTTGGGGGAGATAGCAGGTTGGTCATGAGCCAGCAGTGTTCCTTCACATCCAAGAGGAGCAATGGTGTACTGGGGTACATTAAAATGAGCACTGCCAGCAGGTTAAGGGAGGTGATCCTCCCCCTCTACTCTGTATTTACCAGTAGAACCCCAAACTTCTGCCAGGGACAATAAATCATAAAACAAACAAACAAACAAACAAAGTCTCTAGACAAGCCTTGCTTTCATCAGTCTGTCTATTTTGAGCTCAGAAGTTAGTTTCTGATTAAAGCCCCTGACAGGTATTCAGCCACAGTGGATGGATCAAAATAATAAAAACTCACTACTTCTCTTCATGGTATGTTCAATATTTAATTACCATCTACATTAAAAATCATGCTTTGCTTCTGATTTGAATTTTACTGCCTTCAGCTTCTAATTACAATTCTTGTTCTGTCCTTCTCAAGTACAGTGAAGAACTTTAATACTTGGTATTTCCTGTTAATCATAGCAGTTCACCTCAAAATCTCCTTTTCAGTCAATTAAGAGATTTACTCTAGGAAAATTTACTCCTTATTTTCAACCACGAACTCGTGGTTTTTTTTTCTTTCTTCCTTGAATTCTTTCCAATCTTTAAACATAGGCTGGATGCCTAGCATCTATGAGGAAAAGACTGGTTTGCAGGTAGATCTTGTTGAGCATTTGGACCTGGAAGCTAGGGGAGTTTTGTGGTCCCTTCAGTTTAGTTGGAGTCACTAAATCCAGTTTGGGAATATAACGTTTCCTGACTGAGAACTTGTATCAACCAGCAGCAATCCATAATGTCTATTCTGAGTATGGTTTTCCTGGAATATCTCTGGTTCAATAGACAAGATCTGGATTCCTTGTTCTTCGTGCATCCATTGACACTTGATTGAATTTCAGCCCATTTTATTTTCTGTTTCCCAAACACTTCAGATTGCTCTGTATAATTACTTCATCTTTGTAACTTACCTCTCTGTTATTTTCCAGTATTTGCCAACCTTTTTTTTTCTTGTGTGTATTATCTGCCAGTGATACTAGCAGTAAGTAGTTTATCAACTGGAATAAATACATGAAAAAAAATTGTTTCCTTCTCTACATTTTCATCCAGTTTTGCTCATACTTTTTCTCATCTTTGCGAACTTCCTTAAGTAGTAAGTACGCATAATACTTATTTTATTGGTTGGAAATGTTGTTTGCTCATATGGGATATAATCTTGCCAATACCATGTGTTGGTTCCATGGCAACACTAGAACAGTATCCAAAAGAGTCATTTAATAATGAAGCCAATATTTTTTGTGTTAGCAAATAATCATTAGAAGCTTTAGTGTTGTTCTACCACTAGTGGAATGACAGCAGCAGCATATGTCAGTCCAACCAAGCTCAAAAAATTTTTCTGTTCTTACCAATAACTGCTTTCTACTCTGGTGTGCTTTCTACTCAATGTTTAGTTCTCGTCCTTAAAGCACTTGCATTCCTTAAAAGGAAAACAGTCTCTGCTCTACTCACACTGCACTATAACATTACATCTACACAACATTCTCCACTGGCTTTAGAGTTTCACCCATCATTAGATTTCTGCTTTCTTTGCAAGTTTTGCTGATTGCTTATCTTCCATTGTTTCTCTCATTTTTTAATATTCTCCCTTGATTTCTGAGCCATTCAACACATTTCACTGGGCTTTTTATTACATCAATTTAGTATTGATTGTAAAACTTGACCATGCATTTGCTGTATTATAAATGCAATGCAAATGTCCACCCATACCATCAGCTCCTGACTACCTAACATGGCTGTACTCATTGTCCTTTAAAAATAAATAAATGAATAGCTAGATAGATAAATAATTGGCAGGACTACATGCTTATTTGGAACTATTCTCAAATTATTTTTCATTACCTCCATATTTTTTAGGCATTCAATTTTACAACAATTTTTTGAGAAAAATGGATTGCAATGCCAAATCTTTACACCATAAAAACCACTTTTCTATTAGTTAAATCATTTTATTTTCTTCTCTTAAATTTAGTATCTGACTCATCATGACTAAGATAACTGTACTGTTAAATACCACATGGAAGGCATTTCAAAAATCTATCCAGTATTAAACTACAACCATTTTTCAGTTAGGTTCACAAAATCACACGTATAAATTCTGTCTTTGACAGTAAGCTCTGCACTTTTTATGAAGGACTTTTATCCAAAATGCTAGGAATTTTAAAGGGAATAAATCATCTTAATTTCTAAAATTAATAGGGGCAAGATTTATTCTTAAATCATGGATACTCCTTTCTAATTAAATTCAAATGTGTTTAATGCGTCTCAGGAGTGTTAAGATAATAAGTAATCCTTTTCTGGAATTTAACAGCCTCGATCCCTGTCAATATTGGGTGACTAATAAAATATGATGCCAGGCGTTTTTTAAATCTTTATCTTTCTCCTCTGTCTCATTAGCAAAATGAATAGGTTTGTTCCACAGGCACCATGTAATTTGGAGAATTCAATGTTGCTCAAGGACATTCCAAATAAATTTCAGCAGGTATTTCTTCATGCACTACTCATACATAGAGTAGACTTTCACATGTATAAAACGGACTTCCACAATATCTGCCAGTTACCATGCTGAAGTTTTAATTTGATGTCATTGCTAGTATCAGAGGCTAGAAGGCCCAAAAGGGCCACTGCAATTAAGGTCTCCTGACCTGCAGAACTTTGTGCAGTTATCCCGTCAAAGCCTATATTCAAGCTGAGCTCCAATGATCAGTATTTAATCCACAGAACATATAACACTCACCCACTGTACCAGTGGTCTATCAGGAAATGCTGAAACTATGAAAAGATTATTATATAACATATGCCAATACTTATTTTCAGTAACAAGCCTCAGATATAGCAGGCCTTTTACCAAAAATCATGCCAATAATATGAAATCAGCCCATTTAGTTCTAAGAGCTTAGCTTCCTTTCTTAAGTACAGTAAAGTAATAGCCTCCAAATGATGAAAATATGGCAGGATTCTCAAGACCTGGCACAGTCTTCTGGCATTCATATAAAGCAAAACCCAACTATGGTGAATAGTTGAGGGAAGGACTCCAGAGATTTCACACTATCTTCCTAGTGGGAAGATAGAACAAGGAATAGATTGTGACTCATCCAAGTCTAAAATATTTCCACATTTCTAATTTTAGGTCCTGTAAACCATACATTATACTCAAATATACCCACTTTGGTTGTTTTGGTGGTTTTCTATGTTGATGAAGATGTTGAAGAGCACCAGTTCCAAGACAGACCCCTGAGGAACACCGCTTGTGACCAGCCTCCACCCTGACACAGAACCATTGCTCACAACCCTGTGGCTGCATCCAGCCAACCAATCCCTAACCTAATCCATTGAACATCCCAAGGAGATAATAATACATCTAGTTTTGCTTTAGTGTCCCTTGGTTTTCCTGTTCCTAGCTAATTCCCCATTTTCTACATAATCTACAATGACATGGCTGTTGCAGTCAGACTTTTCCAAAATTCTGGTCCCACCTTAGCAAGAAAAATACATAAAGCTCTACACATCATGTGACAAATTCAGGAGCTTCTGGTGAGCTCATCACAACATGCTGACTCTGTATCATCTGTGAGAGGATAGAAGACTGCAGAGCTTCTAAAGGGGCACACAGACAAGAAGTTTCTCCAACTTTAAAAGCAGGTACAGCATTCACTCATTATTTGTGAAGCCTTTTCCCTTCAAAGTGGTTACCTTGGTAAGCTTGCAGCATCTATTTTAACTATTTTCAATGCTGTTAAGGTTACAAAGAAGTCATGTTTGAGACAGATGGTTTTTTGTTTCTAAATCATGTTGTTCTGTTATTAATCACAAATGTAAAGGATAGTACAAAGTTATTGAGGTTTCATTGGGAAACTTTGATAGAAATGTGTTATTTCATCCTGAATAGTAAAAGGCAGGGGAAATAATTCAGCAGTTTGTAGGCACTGGTAAAATACTGAGTTCCATGCTCTCAGAATTACCATAAATAGAAAATTATTTCAGACCTACGTGCTGCCTCATTATGCATTTAACACCTGGTTCTCATCAACAAAAGAAGAAAACAACCAACTTCTTTCAGATGAGTCTTCTTCATTCTTCAAATCCATTACCAAAGTGACATTTCATCTGGAATGCATTCAGGAAACCTGTGAAGGAAATAATAATTGAATGTTGCTGTTTTCCCAAATTATACTGTTTGTATTTTCCTTTGTAGTGGTGAAGGCAGAATCTTAGAATGCTCATATGCTCATAGAATCATAGAATCACAAGACTGGAAAGGACCTACAAGATCATCTAGTCCAACTATCCCATTACCATTGCTACCACAACTTTTCCATAACTTTTCCTTTTCATAACCTTTCCAGACTCTCTTCACCCTATATCAGTTGTACCCTTCACTAGAACATACTTCCATTCTTCTTATTTTTCAGTCAAATAACTCTGACAGAAGCCTCAGATTTCTACTCTGTGGTCTAAAGAACTATAAATGAATCGAAGCCTATTCTGTCTGCTCATGTTATGAAATGTATCACATAATTTGGCACTTGTGAAGTAATCCCACCAAAGATACTGTACAATTCAAAGTTCCCCACATATAATTTATTTTTATATTGCTGCAGACTAGTAATCTCCAAAGCACTTCTGAAAACCCAAGAGCTGATATCACGCTACCATAGAATCATAGAATCACTCAGGTTGGAAAAGACTGTAAAGATCGTCAAGTCCAACCATGACCTAACCATACTACCCTAACAACCCTCTGTTAAATCATGTCCCTGAGCACTACATCCAAATGGTTTTTAAACACATCCAGGGATGGTGACTCAACCACCTCCCTGGGGAGCCTATTCCAGTGCTTAACAACCCTTTCTGTAAAGAAGTTTTTCCTAATATCCAGCCTAAACTTACTCTGGTGCAACTTAAGGCCATTTCCCCTCGTCCTGTCACCTGTCACCAGTGAGAAGAGACCAACCCCGCTCTGCTGTAAACACCTTTCAGATACTGGAAGAGAGCTGAGGTCTCCCCTCAGCCTCCTTTTCCCCAGACTAAACAGCCCCAGTTCTTTCAGTCTCTCCTCATAGGGCACATTCTCCAAGCCCTTCACAAGCCCTGTTGCCTTTCTTTGGACCTGTCCAGCACCTCAATGTCCTTTCTGTACTGAGGTGCCCAAAACTGAACACAGTACTCGAGGTGAGGCCTCACCAATGCTGAGTACAGGGGCAGGATTACTTCCCTAGTCCTGCTCGTGACTTCACTCCTGATACAAGCCAGGATGCCACTGGTTTTCTCCTCTCAGGCAGATTAACACTCCCTCCCAACTTGGTGTCATCTGCAAACTTACTGAGGGTGCACACAATCCCCTCATCAAGATCATTAATAAAGATGTTGAGCCACTCCAGCTATCAGAGAGATGTTGAGCCACACCATTCACTGAAAGCAATCACAGACTTGTTTTTCTGTCTGGCCTATCCCATTTTAAGTACTGAGAGTAACAGAAAGTGTGAGAAACTATACTATGTGTCCATTTTCTTTATACACACCTAGTCCTCATAGAGAATTAATGAGTCAAGAAATAACTACAAACTTCAAATAATATTTCCTGTCCTCTTGTGGAATAAGAAATAGTTATGCACAATGTCAGCAGGACAAGCTGATAGCATTTTTGGAAGAATTTATTTAAAGGTTCACTCTTGCAAAAAGTTATAAAGTGTACATTTTAAAATTTTTATGAGTGTTTATATATTACATTGTATGTATACTTATACATGATGTGTGTATATTTATATATCTGTGTGTGTGCATACTTGTTTTTATTTAAAGTTCTCTGAAATACATTGTTATCCTGCAACAAAAATAAACTGCCATGAAATACATTGCACAGTGTTCTCCACAGAATTTCTCTACAAGCATCAAAAGACACTGATAGCTACACTGAGTTAATTTGAATTAAGGTATTTATTTTAGTTTATTTGACAAAATCACTATCTACTAACTTTACTATGGATGGTGTTTTTGCCTTTGTAAAGAAGCAGCAGCTTATAGTGTTCTTTTAAATGAGTTTGTGTGAGTATGTACCTAAAAAAAAAAAAAAAAAGAAAAATGCAGTTTAAACTCTTTAACATGTTTCAGTTAATTATAAAAATTGGCAAGTTTAAATAATACAAACTGAAAAAATACTCTACTGAAAGACAGATAAAGTGTTACTTTAGCTATTTCCCCTTGTTACTTGCATCAGTGCATTCACACAATCATGCACCCCAAATCTCTGTCTTTACCAAAGACACACTATGGAAAAAAAAAGGGGGAACTTGAACTGCACAGAAATATATTAAGAACTTCACAATGTGACCTGTAGTTTTTACTGAAATAAATTAATGGGTGGCATGCAGATGCCAAGATGAAGCAGAGCAGTAACAAAACATTAGTAAGCACTTTTAATGTAATTAATTTTTGATATATTACAATTTTTAGCATGTAATTATTTTTGAAGGAACTGCAGAGTAATATTGGATCATGTGTTTATTCCAACTAGTTACTGAAGAATAAAATGTGACAATATTTTGAAATTCTATTGCAAAATAATACTGAGTTGTCCATCAGAAATAATGATGCCAAGATTTCTCTCATCTGATAACCAGTTTCAGTGATTACCTACTAAAAGGTCAATGCTTGGTACTACAAAATCCCTTGGTCAGCCTAGAATCCAAGTGGGCATTGAAATGTGCTATATAAAGCACCTAGGCTTGTAGTGACCTTGAATCTGTTTCCTTATTGCTGGAGGCTGGGATTGTTCCATGGCTGCATTCCCAGTCTGCATCAAGAGGCTGGTACTAACATCAATCTTTAACACCGGTCTTTAGAACAATCATTGATGTTGGCCTTGAATAGGTCTAATAATTTTGCTTAATCACCTCTGTTCCAACACAAAAACTGGAATCTAGGCTGACTTCTAATTTTTCATTCTTGTGAAATCCAGCCACAAGCTTCCTGTCTGCCATCAAATATCTGGAATCACAATTAGACAAAATATGTCAGATGCCCTGTGACACCCAATCATCTTTATTGCATAGAAGTTCACTTTCAAGCTTAGAGTAGAACAAATTCCACTTGGTTCAAAGGTCTGTACTTCCAAAGAAAAATGAGAACACTCATATGCATATTTAAATATGCAGATGTGATGTATCCAATTTGCATTGTCACCTAATGAGAATGACCTTTTCTGCTGAGCAGAAACAGCAGTTGTTGAACTTGAGCATGTGGAAGTTGTGTTTAAATACAGAATTCCAAATGTCCATCTAAATAGATCAAATGCTTGCTTCTCTTAATCAAAAATAATCATGGTCATATTGAACCCTAAATCATAGAATCATAGGATGGCTTGGGTTGGAAGGGACCTCAAAGATCATCGAGCTCCAATCCCCTGCCATGGGCTGGTTGCCACCCACCAGCTCAGACTGCTCAGGGCCCCATCCAACCTGGCCTCGAGCACTTCCAGGGATGGGGCATCGAGAGCTTTGGGCAGCAGTGCCAGTACCTAACTGCCCTGTCAATGAAAAATTCCAGTGCTTCTTCATCTTTAGGGAAATCCAATTACGTTCAGAACTTGAATTTTGCTACTTAGATCTATTTCTCGTACCACTTCTTGCCTAGCACCTTTCCTATTTACCAGTCTTTACAAAGAACATCTGAACAATTCTCTCACCATCAGTGTGGTGCATGTTAACACATAGAATATTTATAAGTATTTTGAAAAACTAAATTCAAACAAAGGGATTAAGTAAATTGCTCTGGACTACAAAGAGGCAGTTAATACGGCAAGACTGGAACTCAGTTTGACCTTGGTTTTGATTCTGTGTTCAAATACCTTAGATCAAGTTTTTAGCAATACTCAAATTGAAATGGAAAAAAGCCATGATCGATTTACCAAGCAGCATTAGAGTCGTATAACCTGTGCTGTTCTATTTCTGTGAATGCCAAAGAAGGAAAACAACTCCTGCATGTAGTAGCTCGCCTGTAGACAAACAGCATCAGTATTATGGCTGTTTTGTTTACCCTCTTTAGTTACCCTCTGTACTGAAACGAAAGGTCAAATTGTCAGTATGCTTGCCTTCCTCTAGAGCATACTCTTTTCATCTACAGACCACAAAAATAGGCAGTAATATTACACAATACAGGTAATAAATAGGTCTTAGAACTGGAATCACTCACATGCATGATTGGGGATTAAAAAAATGAGAATTTAAGCAAACATCTTGGCATATCTTATAGGCAAAAGCACAATTATACATCTTCCCCATTGTTTCTTTTTCATTAGGGGACTGCAGAATCCTCCCATAATAGATCAGGATTCCATATTGTGAGAATTTAGAAATACCTAATGAAAATATTGCACCTACAGTTATGAACTTACAACTGCCAGTGTAAGATTAAGAATAAAACCCTTACAGTTATTTCTGTAACTGTAATATTCTACATGATACTAACACATACCATCTTCTCCCATGGTTACATACAGGAGTGGAGTGCAGTAAGTTTAACAGCATGGCTCTGTAAGTGAATCCAAACAAATATGTGTTGTCCTAAAAATAAGTATCTTACCTTATGCATCAGTAAGGAAGGAGAAAATTCATACTGAGAAAAGAAATACCAACTAGACAGATGGGCACACACATACACAGTTATATAGAGCCTTGTTCTTCATATTAGTTTACTTGTCAGCATACTATTTTTGCAAAATAATTCAGGAAAAACAAGAGACAGAAACCTCATGATAAACACTGTGACTATACTAAAAGGGGTTTTGTAATTGTTCTTATTTTCACCTGTGTTTCAGAATCTATTTCATATGTGGCACAGGTGTTAATACAGATTGGCACAACAGAAAGACCAGCTGCACTTGTAGAGTAATGAATTCTCATTTAAATCAACATGGGAACTAACTGTCCCACCAGCAGGATGTCCTGACACAGTACATTTTTGTAATCTGCTAATGGTGCCTTTTCATAACTCATTTAGCCTAGTTGCAGCCTGTACTGCCAATGGAAAGGGCACTTCCCTTTCCTATTGCTGTCTACCTCTTTCTGCAGCCAAAACAAAAACAAACAAACAAACAAACAAAAACCTGATCCAGGACAAATAACAGCTTATTAGTTACATTTGGATCAAATCTTGGATTTGGTGGATTATGCCATAAGTCCTGTGTTAGCTTAAAGAAGGGTAAGGAAATGTATTGCCAGGACAAGTAAGGCAGAATAATGTTATGCTATAGCAGCTGCAAAAAAAAATAATAAGTTGATCTGTAAAATTAAAGATTGCCTGAAAGAGACATTACCAGATGTAGAAGTATATTAGAGCAGCTTCCAGAGTCAGGTATGTTCCAGACTCAAACATGAGGTTGTTAGAATTTGTATATGTATGGTTTTGTTTCACTGCCCAGCCCTTTGGGCAGCAAAATGCCAAATACTGCCTTAAACAATTGTCTGCAACTGTCATGCAAAGCTGCCTCTTGAAACAGTGGAGATCTCACCGTCTGGTTAATGGAGACTGGGGTGCTGTCCATCTCATTCTGAAACTGAAGTTTAAAATGAGTTTTCCCCTTGAAGTGACTGCATCTTGTCTGTCAGAGCTAAATCGGTGCTGCAGTTTCAAAGCACTATGTGAGAATAGTCAGGGAGGAAAAGGCTTTGTCAGGCTGGAATGTTCTGATGATGGTGGACATTATCAATGTCTTGTGAGGACTTTATAGATTATATAGATTAAAACTGGCGATGATTATAAAGTCATTCATGAGTAGTTGTGGATTAAAAATAATCCACACTAATAATAATACTCACTAATCCAGCTTTCAGCACAGTCTCAGTTGCATCAGCAAATCACAGGGTGTTATCCCAAAATGACAGAGGCACAAACTGGCCATCACATGGTGGATGAAGATGTGGCTGCTGAGAGAAGGAAACAAGTTAAATACAGTCTATGAAAAAACTCTTTGACAGAGCACATTGAAGCATGGAATTGACCTGGATGTATCCAGAGGAATCTCACTTAGCCCTCCCAGGCAGAGATCTCAGAGGCCTGAGTTAGTGGGTATAATATCACAAAGCATGAAAAGATATTTCTAAGTCATTTTACATGTAACATTACTAAGATTGGATTAATCTCACTCAACAACATCTACACTCAACATCTCACTCAAGACATCTACAATGATTTTTCAGCTGGAGTGATCTCTGCAGGCTCTCTTTATAGTCACTGTAGATTACACAGTAATTAATCTCTTTCTAAAACAGTTCCTCACCTCTAGAAGCTACTTTTTCTTTCCTTAGAGTCAAGAGGGACCCTAGGTTAATTTGCTCAACTGTAAGCATCTATTCACAGATAACTAAAGTTAGCTGGTAAGATTCCATCTTCAAGGCATGCAGAGACTAGAGATCCAATCTTGGGAAAGGCCTGAGAAGTTCAGATAGTATATTTGCTTAGGGCTCTGCTGAGCACTCTGCTTTTCCTGCTCTACTGCTCTATTTAAACTGCAGTAGACACAAATCTCATAATTTGCTTGCAAGCAGAGAGAAGAAAGTCTAACCAGAAATGCCATATTCTAGTTATAGTTGGACAAATATAGTTCCTGAATAAGAACTGTATATAAATTAATGCTATGTCAAGAACAATAACATAATATATTATAGGAACAGATATTATGATGTGGAATAGCAACTTAACAAGTATAAATTGGTTTTACTGTTACAGAACATGTTACCAGATCCAAAGTTTGCTGTCATCATGGAAAGGCTTCCAAGTACCTGATTGCACCTTGACTCAGATACATATCATGTTCTGTACGTTTAACAAAGCTGCAGGAACAATGGGCTTTTGGTAATAGTTAAGAACACCCTCTGAGCTAAAGAAAAGCTGCTGGAAATTGTCTCTGAAAACAATTAACTTACCCTGCATGTTAAAAGACAGCATTAGCAGTGGGATGAACAGTAACACTGAACATCACTATTGGTGAATTGCTCCTGTGAGTGGCATGGTACTTATTATTGCCAGCACATTCACTTTAAATGAATAGGTAAAAGGTGAATTGTTGAACTCATGCAGTCATACGTATCTATTCCAGAGTACCATTCCTACTTTCAAGCATTTTTTTTTTTTCAAGTTGCCTCATCAGAATTAAACAACAAAAATACGCACAGATTGATCTTCGGGGAAGAGAGTTACAAGCAATACATTGAAGCTAAGTAATAACAAAAAAAAGAAGAAAGAACAGAGGAAAAAAGAAATGTTCCTTGTTAAATATTTACTTCAGCTCTAATGAAAATTGCCTTGTCAATGACAGTATAATACAAGTGTTCTTTAAGTAAGGTCAACTTTCAGCATAGACTTAAGTCTTCTATAGAGGCATTTCATTGATTATATGAATGTCATATAGGAAATGCAAAGTACCATAATGTGGGAGTTTGATCGATGATGTTATCTTGATTTATAACTGTGTATTTTTGGACTGTGATGTGCACAAAGCACTAATTTAAAACCTCATTTTAGTTGCAACCTACCTTTTCCTTTTAATAACAAGAAAGTCATCTGATTACACTCTTTCAGTTATCCCCATGCCACGTATTAGATAATCCCCTTATTAGTTTAAAACTAAAAATGCTAATGGATTGGGGAAATGGGATTTTGCTTTCACACATTATACCTGTCTTTTTATGCTTGCCTTTCAGATCATTTATCTAAATAATAACCTTCAGTACCCACTCCTTCCTTCCAATGAACTAAAACACATTAATGATTAAAGTCAGTGAAAACATCTTCTCCCTGATCTAATTTCGCTCGCTGAGATTACCACTTTCAGCTCCTACTTTCCTACTTCTTTTTGGAGGGAGGATGGGGGCTGGCGGGGGAGTTACTGACTTGTAGAGCTGCTCCTATGATTAATTCCTAGTCCATTTCAATTAAAACAGCCTGTGTTAGTTTACACAAACTGTAGATTGTTGTTAATGAGTATCACCAGTCAACAGTGACTGAAAGGGCATTGATTTCAGGGACTAAAAGACAGAAATGATAAGAAAAACTCAGCAAACAGCTTTCAATCAGAAAATCTGTTGGGGCAGCCTAAAAAAGAGGAATATACCTTCACACTGGCATACGAAGGTGCTGCAGGTGGTAGCTTCTGCTGGCAAACTTGGAGATAAAGGAGGAGGCATTTCAATGGTGTTAGTGTCAGAATGAGGGAAGATAAGTCATCATCCTGTACAAAAGAAAAATGACTGGCCCATGGCCAGATACAAAGACTGCGGAAATTCTGGAAGTACCAGGACAGAGTATTTGTGTAGTTCAACTTTCATTGCGCCTGACTTAAGTTGTAAGACACAGTTCTGAAAAGAAAAAAATAAAAAAATAAAAATCTCAGCAACAGAGATGTGTCTTTAAAGCAATAAGGAAATAACTTCTCTCACCTACCAGTAACTTCTGAGACAGATGGAACTGAAGAGCCATCAACTTTGTACTGATCTGAGACTTTGGAAAACATATTCCAGAGGATAAACATCCTCTCACAGAAAATCTCTCCCAGCAGCCCTTCTTTTTCACACAAGAACAAATGTCATTCTGCTGACCACAGTGGTGGCAACATGACATGGGAGTGAACAGTATCTCAGGAAAGCAGGTGTCACAGCTGTCTCAAGGAAGCTCACACTGTTCTGCTGCTCTCCTCGCTCTGAATAAATTCATCCTGGTACTAACTTTTCAGACTGTAGAGTCAAAAAAGGCTTTGGATTTGAAGAAATATTCTTACATGAATCAGGCAGTTTTCTCCATTGATAAGAACAAAGAATGACCCTGTGAAATCAAGCTAAAAGTCTTCCTGGAACAACATAGATATTTCCTGTGCTGATAAATAGCAACAATAAATAGCAACATGTTCTCAACAGTGGCAAATTACAAAAGAGCAACTATCTGTGTAATACAGACACTAAATAACATCTTCATGACTTGTGGGAGGTGACCAGGAAAAATAGCAGACAGATGGCTAAAGGATGGGTAAAAAAAAAAAAAAAAAAAAAAAGCAAGTCCATGAATAAAATTTAATAGCAAAAGACATCTGCTAACAAAGGTTATCACAGCAGAAAGCAAAAACATCCAGAAGCAACAATTCTATACAAAGTTTCATTTCCAGTGAATCATGCCATTATGTTCAATTTAATTCTAAATACGAAAGCTGCCCTTACTGCTTGTTCTCTGCTGTGGGATCACTGTCAAAACAAAGAACAATTATAAAATATTCACCCAGTTCTGAATTCAGATTTGCTAAGCGATGCTGATACGATGCAGAGATCTAAATGTGAAATCCATGCAGATTGTTATTTCTTTCAGTATAGAATTTTCTTGATGATTACTTTTAGATTTTCTCTGAAATTCTGCTTTACCTTAATTCTTAGAAAGTGTTGGTAACAAGTGATGATTACTCTTCTTCTGTATTTTTTGCTAAAGTAGCATGTCCATTTTCACCCAAATTTTGGATTATGTATTCAGCAAAAGAAGTGTTTTCCTCTGATGCACAAACTGTTGGTGATCATGTAGGTGGCAAATACTGGCATTCTCTTTCTTTGAAGAAATATGAGATTTCCCATTATTGGAAAGCTCCCTTGCCCTGAATGACAAATTACACAACAAGACAGAAGGAAGATGCAAATCTTAGTTTTAAAAGCATCTAATATTTGCTCAAATTATATTCAGCTGTATTTATCTACCATTCTGGCATGCTGATGGAATAGTATTATCAATAAATCTATAAATAGGATGCAAAATGCATGTGAGCTGTCTGTGCATGAAGAAAGAGCAGAGCAGCAATAAATTAGAGCATAATATATAGTTTAAATGTAGCAAAAGGAGTGCCTCGACAAATCAACGCAACATATTTTGTCACTGAGAGGGAGAGATTCATTACACGTCAGCCTTGAGAATGCTGGATTTCTGAAGCATGGGGTCATCTAGGACACATGATGTCATTGAGAGAGTATGGAAACATGCATAGAAAAGCAAAAATAATCTGCAGAATAATAATACCATGTTAAATTTTCAGCTAAAACTGAAGTTCTCTCCAGTACTTCATTGCTCAAGAGAGTTCAGGAATGCAACAAGAGAGAGAAAAATAATGAAGCCTGACTTCTTATGGATTTGGTACCCACAGGAAATTCAAGACTGATCCTCCTTCTGAGTCTGAGTCACGTGTGCAGGGTTTCCTTTGCCTGGATTTTCTGTGATATATATTAATGTCTAAGCTTTGTATAGCTGAGAAACTTTTTCCCCTACAATGGAAAATCTGATAAACCATAAAATTTGGGGAAAGTCTGTGTTTTGGAGAACTGAACTGTCTTTGGGAACTGCCAAACATGACTGAAACTCAGCATTAGATTTCAAAGTTGGCTAGAGGAGAGGACACAGTCATGGGGCCAAATGCATACACCCAGCAGATTACATAAGAAAAAAAGAGACTAAAAATAAATCAAGCTGCCAATTGGTTTTCCTGCTGACAGCAGCAAAGAGATGCGGGACATCTAATTCCTTCTAATCACAGAAATGACAGACAAGTTTTCATCTACTTTGCCTGTGACTTGGGCCACCAGTCCCCAGGAGTGGCATCATCACATCCCATTGCTATCAGGGAAGTGCCCCAGTGGCACTGGCAGCTGATGTCAGTGTTGCCCTTTGGCATGTTCAGAAAGAGCAATGTGGTGAAGAGTTTTAAATAAGGAATGGGGAAGGTCGTGATGAGCCTGGGGATGCTGAACTCTGGGCTCCTGTGGTGTTGAGAGACCACAGGAACCTCCTGCCTGCTTTGCTGGTGGCAGGGCCTTGAACTATGGTTATGAGGGAGGAATTATTTGCTTCCCTTTTGTAATGAAAGGACCAACCATATTTATACTAGGAAAAAATACAAGCTGGGGGACAAAAGGATAGAGTATAGCCCTGCTGAAAAGAACCTGGCGAGGTGGTGGATGGTAAGCCAGACATGAGCCAGCAGTGAGTCCCTGCAGTCTAGAAAGCCAACTGTATCCTGGGATGCATCCTAAGCATTGTGGTCAGCAGGGAGAGGGAGGGGATCCTGCCCCTCTGCTCTGAGCTGTGAGACCTCACCTGGAGCACTGCCTCCAGACGTGGAGTCCTCAGCACAGGAGAGACATGGGCCTGCTGGAGTGTGTCCAGAGGAGGGCAACAAAATGATCCAATGATGGAACACCTCTCCTATAAGGACAGGCTGAGAGCTGGGGCTGCGCAGCCTGGATAAGAGAAGGCTATGGGGAGTCCTGAGAGCGACCTGTCGGTATCTAAAGGAGCTGTAAGAAAGAAGGGGACAGACTCTTTGGCAAGGTCTGCAGTGGCAGGACAAGGGGAAATGGTTTCAAAATAAAACGAGAAATACAGACTGGATATAAGGAAGAAGTTTTTAACAATAAGGGTAGTGAGGCACTGGCACAGGCTGCCCAGAGAGGTGGATGCCCTGTCTTTGGAGACACTCGAGGTCAGGCTGACGGGGCTCTGAGCACCTGATGGAGCTGTAGGCGTCCCTGTTCATTGCAGGGATAGCCTTAAAGGTCTGTTCCAATTCAAACGCTTCTAGGATGATTCTGTGATAAACACTTGTGTAATCGATCCGCAGCAGGGGGCTGGGATAGATGATCTCCAGAAGTCCCTTTCAACCCCCACGATGTTGTGATTTCGGTTCTGTGACCGTCACGGATTGAACACCTTTGGAACGCGCGGCGAACGGGCCGCCACGCGCCCCACGAACGGCCGCTCCCGCCCCGCGCCGGCCCAGCAGGGGGCGCTGCAGCCCCAAACGCCGCCCGAGAGGCGGAAGCGAAGCACCGCTGTTCCCCAAGATGGCGGCGCCCAGGCGCGGCGTGACTGGGGGCAGGATGAAGCGGGCGGCCGGCTGCGCTCGCCGCGGCGACGGGAAGCTGGACAGGCTGCGGCTGGCGGTGCGGGAATTCGTGCAGGCGGCCGGGGACCAGCTGCCGCCGCCGCCGCAGCACCCGCTGAAAGGCTCGGAGAAGCCGGGCCGGAAGAGCCGGCGGGACGCGAGGAAGGAGAAGCGCAGGCTGAAGCGGAGCCGCCGCCGCCTCCTCCGGCGCGGAGGCACGGGGGACGTTCCCGCCGCTGTGGCCCGGCCGGCTCCCGCTGCCCGCCCCGCGGCTCCGGCCTCGCCCGCCGCCGCCGAGAAAAAGCAGCCGGAACCGCGGCAGAAGAAGAAACCGGCCCCGAAAGCGTCGCGGCCACCGGTAGCGGCCCCGCGGCCGTCCGCAGCCGCTTCGTCGAGGAAACGGGCGCTGCTGGAGGCCAACGAGGAGGAGGACAGGGAGATCCGGCGTCTGGAGCGGCAGCTGGGGCTCGGCAAGCGTCGCAGGAAGAAGGGGGAGGCCGCGTCCGAGGAGCTGCCGCAGAGCTTCCTGCGGGACGGGCTGGGCTACGTGCTGGGCGCACTGGGCTCCGGCGCCGGCCTCGCAGGGCTCTGCCAGAGCAGCGACGAGGAGGAGGACCCGGAGCCTGGGGGGCGCGGGAAGAACCCCGAGAAGGCTGGGGAGAACCCCGAGAAGGCTGAGGAGAACTCTGAGAAGGCTGAGGATGACCCCGAGGAGCTGGTAGAAGCCTCTGACACCTTCGAGGGGTCAGATGGGGAAGGACAGTGGGACAGTGAGAGCTCATCCCCCGAGGACAGCGGGGTGCCTGAGAGAAGCGAGGCCTCGGACCCGGAGGAGGGAGAGCAGGAGGTAGGGAGCTGGCTTGAAATAATGCAGACTTGCTTCTCAAAGTACACAAACCTGACGTCACCTCTGCAAAGTGCTGGTGTTTGTTGTCTGACCAGTGTGGAGAAGTGATGGTGAAAACCATGCTGGGTCCAGCAGCAGCAGCGTTGACTTCTGAGCTTCTACCAAGTCTAAAGGCACATGCTGGCACATTGCAGCCTAACACACAAAGCCTTGTTTGTGTACACACAATCAACAAATAAAAGGAACAAAAGTGTCACCATACCAGAGCCAGTTTAAGCACTTCCCTAAGATCATACAAAGCCTATAAGACAATGAATATGCAGTGGAAATTGGAGTTCCTTCTTCCTGTGCATCCCAGATATTCTGCTTGTTTTTGGCTTTGTAGTGTAAGTAGAGGAGAGGAAGCCAAACATTATTTAGCCACATGGCACTGAATTAATCTGAGAACACCAATGCAGCTGAGGCTTTCACCTATGGGGGTTTCTGTTGTCTGTCTGGTTAAACTAGCAACCTGAGATGTCACTTTTAATAAAAGTAATTTACTTAAATTTACTTAATTTACTTAAAACTTCATGTGAAGGGGAGAGGTAGGTTCTTCTGCTTCTCTCAAGCTGATCATAAGCAGTAACTTGCTGCATGCTTTTTTCCTGAATGAGGCTCTTCTTTTGGCA